CTGTGCCCCGGGATCCCTGCCCACGCACAGGGCACAGGGCTGCTTTTGCACCACCCAGAGCAGGACATCCACTCCCACCCTGCTCCCCAAATCCTTTATCAGGGTGTTCATCCCCTTCCACTGCAAACGGCCCGGGGGGCACTGGCTGAGCCATCAGCAGCTGTGCAAGAAGGGGGAGCAGTGGAATCCTGGTGGAGCCCCGAAAGAAAACCCCTTTCAGCCCCGCACCCAGAGCATCCGGACCCAGTCCCGCACAAGGAAAGCCTCCAACCTTCTCCACGAAGTCACGTCCTGCCAAAACTCGTAAAGGATGAAGCAGGCCTCATCCGTCAACTTGCAGGCGGACACACTGCGGAGACAGGAGCAACCCTGAGTCGGAGGCTGGCAAGGTGCGGCCACATTGGTCCCGCCAGGCCCGGGAGCGAGGGGCACAGGTCTGCACGTGAGCCTCACCATGAGGCTTTCAAAGAGCAGTTCGGATGCATCCACAATTTGTGACTGCCAGGGCCGGCACATGGCTTCAGGGGATCCCAAACCCAAATCCTTCATGCTTCGCAGTTCCTGCAGCCAGGCAGCAGAGGAGTTTTACAGCTATTAAACTGGTCCTTGCTGCTGCTCAGAAACCAGTGTGTTAAGTGTTTTATTAAGTATTTCTTAGCACATCCCTAGCACTGCAGCACACAGCCTGACGAAGGAGCTCATCCTTCCAGCCCTTTGGAGTAGCATGTGTCATCCCTCGCCCTTCACACAGAGAGAAACTGAGGTACACGTGCAAGGAGCTGAGATCACAGCATAAAACCACAGCTCGCTGCCCCCCAAAGTGATGCTGTTTCGCCAGGCAATGCTTCCCACGCTCCCTCCTGCTGGAGGAACAGACTGGAGCTTTCTCCAGTCCATGGGAAGATGGAGGGGGAAGCAGCAGGGAGGCGAGAGAGCAAGGCTCAGGGTGCAGGGCCTGGGGAACCATCTGCACTCAGCTGCAGCATTATTAATTCCAGCTGCGGATGAACGTTTCCTCCAGCTGCTGCTAAGGGCTGCAGGAAGAGACGAAGCCCTGGGGGGGAGAGCAAAGCAAGTCACCCAGCAGCTCAGAGGCTGCGGCCCCCGCGCAGGGGGCCGCAACGCGCTTTACAATTCCCCGGCGTGAACCAGGACAGTGGAGTCCCCTCGGGCTTTGCTCCAGCTTTCCACTCACGTAGAGAGCCTGCCCATGCAACGCTACCCAGTTGTCTACACTAATCGTTCTCATGACAGAAAAGCCCATCAATTCCAAAGAAAAAAAATACCATTCTCTCTGCCACACGTGTCAAAACAAGTATCTTCCTTTTGTTTGGACTGAAAACGCAATTTTGTGCTGTTGGAACTGAAGAGCTGAAAAATGACACTTTAAATGGGAACAGCACGAACATTTCCCACTGAAAGCAGCTTGAAATCTCCCATGGGAGAAGGAAAGCGCCTCTCAAAGAGCAGCTGTGCAATCTCCAGGGACACGCCAGCAGTGGAGTGTCACTGAAGTCAGACCTGGGCTCCATCCTCAGTTCTGTCTGGAGCTCCGGAGCGGTGCTGGGGGGCAGAGCCTTGGTCTCATCGGGGGTTAGCTTTGGGTGTTCATGGCCACTTCCCACCAGCACTGCACACACTTTACATAAGGCGATGCTGTGACATGAGTTCTCCCCTTGACTTTTCCCCCATTGCTTTCCAGTCCTTCAGTGCTCGAGGAATGCATACATTCTCTTACACGTGCATGCCACAGTCATTTGTGCAGCATAAAAACCAGCCTCGTCCTTGCCAGACGCTGACAAGTGGTTCTTGCTCGGGGAACCTGCAGCAGGAGATGGGACGGTACCGCAGGCAGAGACACCACCGCAGCTGTGACACTGTCCCGTTCCCTCTGCGAGGTCAAACCTCTGCACGCCAAGCCCACCCATGCACCGACCGGCACACAAAATACTCTGCAAAAAAACCCTTTTGTCCCCCAAGGGTGCCATGTTAAAAGACCCTATTTCTGGGCAAGCCCTGCCAGGAATAGCCCCACCACCCACCACACTTACTGCAGGCAGCTGCTCTGCCCGGCGGTGACCTCCGTGTAGGACCTGAACGCCTGGCGAAACTCCTCAATGCTGCTCGTCGCCACCGAGATCTGCCTCTTCGCCACCAGGATGTGCTGCGAATGGACAGCGGACGAGCGGCATCAGGGACTAATCTGCCCCTCCTGCCCTCCCTGTCCCACTCAGCTGCGGGACAAGGCAATGCTGAGCAAGCACAGCACCACAGGGGAAGCCGCAAGAAGGGGCTGGCACCACACTGCTGGGGACAAAGCCAACATAAAGTGGCTTCTTCCTACCTGGGCAGGTTGCCTTTACAACGAGGACCGCACCAACAGGGGATGCTCCATCCCCTGGTGGCTGGGTCCTGCTTTGGGGCTGCTGCAGTTCCCTGTGTCCTTCCCCCAGCAGAAAGGGGCCTCCACTGGGGCTCTGCATGGTCTGCAGGTGCTCAGAGCAAACCTGGGGGATCTGGGCACTCACAAGTGGAGTACTGCCTTCCTCTGGGCACTGCCCAGGGCTTTCATGGACCTGATGGAGCTGCATTTGCCCTGTGGATGGTCCCACGCCCAGTTCACAGCTCTGACTTCCATCCTGCTACACCGCCGGGCAGTGGCCCCCCTGCCAGACCAAAGCCAGCAGCTCACCCAGTCTCGGGGCACAGGGGCTGCGCGAGCACACTGTGTGCGAGAGAGGGGATCTGTGCACACTACAGGGTTACCTGCAAACGACAAGCAGCAGGACAGGGACTTACTGCGTCTCTTCCTTTGCACATCGCTTCCTCCTTCAGCGGCTCCAGGCGCGGGCTCTGCATTTAACACCACAGGAAGAATAATCGTTACTGGGAGAACTTTGCAACAAGATAAAACATGGCACTAACCCACAGCCCAGCTCAGTGTGACAGATGGGTACCGCTCTGGGGACATTCCTTCAGGTACCCAGGGGAGAAAAGGGACGTGACCTGCACATCTGTGGGGCTCAGCGGGTCCAGACTGACTTGTCAGATCAGCATGGACCACGGGAGGGTCAGCAGAGCTGAGGGGAGAAGTGGGGCTTTGGAGACAGCAAGGGATGAGCAGCCTTGCGAGTCTGGGTCTGGTGAATGGGTGCAGCTCTGTAACGATGCCAGGACCGAATACCAGGGCTGTTCGCACAGGGAGGGGTCCCAGCGCCAACCTGGCCAGCACGAAGGCGCAGGGCAGCCCCCAGCCCACCTCCCCTCTGCCACGCACCTTGCACTCCAGCTTCTCGATGAGCTGCTGGAGCCTGTTGATCTGTGCCATCCACTGGCTGTTGTCTTCGACACAAACGCCTGCACGGGGAAGGGCAGAGAGTTGTCACCGAGAAAGCTTGCTTTTATCACAGCAAAAGCTTGCTTAAGACTCAGAAAACCACAAAAGCTTCAAGACCTCTGATTTAAACCAAAAAAACGATTTGGTTTTCTCCTGAAACTTTTCCCGCTATTTAAGAGATACAACATCCCACAGAAGCTCCAGCTGGCATCTGGGTGCAACGGTCCAGGCTCTGTCCTGGACAAGCGCCCGCTGTCCCGTGCTGCTGCTCCCACACCCACTCTGGGCTCCAGTGGGGCAGGGGCAGAGACACCGACCCACGGGACAGCCGGTCTGCGGATACCTGTCGTTAGCATTCCGGAATAGGGGTCCGTTGGAGATAGACAGACATTCTTCTGTCCTCTGCGCCCGCATCGTCTCCCTGACCTCAGGCCAACCGAGGTCTCAGATTTCTTTATGTCCTTTCTGAAAGAATAAAATCAAAGGGGGAGCTGGAGTCATTCACGTATGCGTCAGCTTCACAGTGGGCTTGGAAAGGGCAGATCCTGCTCCCAGATCCCAGTGCACCCCAGGGGAACCCGTGAGTCCTGCCCCATGCTGCGACCCCCACAAGTGGTGGTAGGGAGAGGGGGAGGACCAGCATGTCCCACCCCATTACCTCTCCTGTCCCGC